GCTGCTGCTGCTGCTGCTGTTTCTGTTGCTGTTGCTGTTGCTCTTGTTGTTGCTGTTGCTGGTTGCAGCTGTTGTTGCTGTTGCCGCTGTTGCTGTTGTTGCCCTTGTTGCTGTTGTTGGTTGCTGCTGTTCCTGCTGTTGCTACTGTTGCTGGTGTTGGTGTGGGTGCTGGTTGCGGCGGTTGCGGTTGGGGTTGTTGTTGTGGTGCTGGTGGTGGTCGTCGTCGTGCAAGCCTCGGTCACATTTCAAAACTGCCCGAGGACTCCGGGCAGCTGGGCGGCCACGGCCTGACGATGCATTCGATGCGACCGCAGCTGCGGCCTGGGTTGTGGCCGCCACCTGGATCCGAAAAATTTGAGATCTAACAGGTCTTCAACTCTTGTTGAAGCGCTGGTGAAGTTTTATACAGGACTTCTACGCGGTTGGCTGCAGTCTTTTCGAAATTTGACTACTGAGGCCAAGACAGTGAACCAGACTAATTTCATAGGCAAGCCGAACGAGAACAGTGTTGTCCACACGGAGCTCTGAAGATCTCTGAAACATACCATCTGCAAAGTGTCACAACCCCAGCAGCATTGGGGACAGGTAGCTATAGAATCATGCTGTGGGGCTGACTTATGCCTATGCACACACGCCCTGTGGCATAGCGTGCCAGTCATTGTTGAAACATGTGCGCAGTCACTGACCTCATGCATTCTATCCGGCTCTATCCTTCCATCCTGCTTCCGTGCAGAGGGCGAGGTCGAATTGCCAAGCCACGCAGGGTCGAAGTAGTATTTTGTTGGAGGAATCTCAGGCAGACGGCTAAGCTCGGACTGCCTACTGAAACAAGTCCATTCTCAGCCTTCAGCACCAACGAGAGCAGATGCTAGCAAGGCTTGCGAAGTACATGCGAATAGATGACATGAAACGGAAAGCACCGAAGGAGTGCACTTGAATCACAATTGTCGTGCAGCTCTCACCCAAAGCCTTCCTCCCTAAGGAGGTGCGATTCTATGCTGATGTAAACTGTTCGGAGCCCCTGGTTCCGCTGGGGCTCCTGAGCTCCCTGGGAGAGGTCTTCAAGGCCCGACGGTGGGGATTCCCAGATTTTATCTCCGGGATTCAGTTGGTATTTTCAGGGAGGTTCAGGACCTGCGTTGGGATCTGCGGTCTTCTGCTGAAAGCCCCTGCAGCCGCAGTGCCGCAGCTTCCAGAAACACTCGGAGTTCCGAGCAGAAGCGTTGGAAGGTTGGCTCAAGATGGGTGAAGCCTGTGGGCTGCGGGGCTACAGGTCATGCTGGAGGTGTTGTCGCTGCCACACTGTCCGCCGTTTAGTGGTCAGCTTTGCGACGACGATGTCCGTGTTGCCCAGATGACCACAGCCTTGTTTCAAGAGGTGCATAGAACGGCGGAGTGGGCACTTGCACATGCGTACAGCCATCGAAAGGACACAGCCGGAGGGGAAGTGTTGATCTTGGCGAAGGTTTTCGAGACATTGACTGCCTTGCGAGTGATGCTTTGTGCTACTCGGTTCATGGCTTGTGCAGCCCATGCGATGGGAGACCTACTGCTGGCAGTGTGCTCCCGGTTCGGTGGATGTGACGATTTTCTAAGAGATCCATCGCGGTTTGTCCAAGATGTCTTGGCAGAGACGCAGAGAACGCTTGAGCAAGACGGACTGCAGAAACTTGCTGTGTCTCCTCCAAAGAAACCTGCTCTTCAAAGCATCTTTCTCCCAACAGTGCTCTGTGACGTCTATGGGTTTCCATGGCTCCAGCCAGATCTGCCAGTGCGCCCCCTCCGACTCCACCACTTTGCTCAAGTTCCCTTCCAAGGGGTGGATCCTTTTCAGGTCCTGCGCACCGTGAGGGATGGCGGCGTCGCATCCAAGTGGGTGATCAACCTGGGCGCAGGCGATGGCTCCTGCGACGAGAATAAGGAGGACCTGGCCAACTGCCTCATAGAGGAGGGCTTTGGAGGAATTCAGGTAGAGGCCCATCCCTCCCTGGAAAGGGCATTGCAGAAATCTCTTCAACACCGCACGGACGTGGCGGTGCTAGGTCGCTTGGCTCCTGCGGAGGTTCTGGAATCGGTTCACAAGGCGAGGAGAGTTGATGCCCCCCCAATTCTTCTGAAGGTGGATGTGGACAACGGAGACTGCGACTTCTTGGAGGCGCTGCTTCCTCTGCAGCCGGCCATGATCCACGTGGAGGTTATGCTCATGGCCGTGCCACCTCCCTTCGCGCTGAAGGTTCATTTCAACCCAGCTGTGCAGTGCACAGCGCCGGGGTGCGAGCGTGCGAGGAGCTGGCGAGACAACCTCAGGCGTCGCGGCTGCTCCTTGTCAGCTGTGGAGGAGACGCTTGGCCGTGGTTATTTGCTTCTGGGTCTGGCAGAGCCTGGGCACAACGTGATGTTCCTTCGGTCGGACCTTGCTTGGGCCTTGCCACTTCCAGCCATGAGTAGCTGGCAGTTGTGGCGGCAACACTATTTCTGTCATCCGCTTCGTGGCTTTGCCCATGGTTGGGAAATTTGGCATGGAATAAGAACAGACCCAGCACGCTGGGTGGACCCGTCGAGGTCTTTGTGTGAGCGAGCCGAGGAGATTGGATCCTACTTCAAGCAGGCTGCATACAACGAGAGTTGGTCACTGACGGTACTGCAGCCGTTCGTGCACGAATGCAACTACTCCCTCGCCCATCAGTCACACGAGTCTTCAAAAGCCAAATGCCTTGCCCCTTTCGCATCCAGCTAGTGTGCGCGTTTCGGCAGACATAGGGCGGGTAGCGCGGGCAACGATCATAGCCACAGGCTGCAGGTTGCTGGCAGTTCGCGCCGGACTATCTTAAGCTCACAAGAAGGATCAGTGCTCGTAATGGTAATAGTATCTATCATACTATGATAAGCTGAATTATGACCAATATTCAACTTGCTCTAGCAGTAGTGTTCTTAGCACATCCTGACAGTGTTTGTGATCCTCTTCATGATCTGTTTTTGCCCTACATGACCAGGCCTTCGATGGAGATGTCAACTCGACCTGGGAGGCTGGGCCGGTTTTGAGTCCGGGCTCCTAGGAGTTGCAGGGAATTCACACGATTTCATAGGTCTCGAAGGCTAGGGTTCTACGAAATTGAGGTCTCCAGGAGTGTAGGGTGTTGGGTTCGAGTTTTTTGGTGCCGGAGTTTCGATGGAATGTGCGATAGAATGCGTATTAGGTGGTGCTAGCGGCTACTAGCAATCTCTCGTCCAAGCTCTGGGGCAATGTATTAGTTGACTCTAAGGCCATGCAACAACGTAATGTTTCAGTCTTGGAGATTGTGCTGCACAACGCCATGCAAGAGCCACGCGGACCCCTGAAACATATCTGAACTTAAAGAATTCCCTGAGATCCCTGGAAGAACCCTCGGGGGTGCCCTTGGTGGCAACCGGGCCGAGCTCAGTCGAGGCTCGCTGCCGGGCTGGCGTGGACTCATCGCGCGAATGCGAGGACTTCTAGGTGTAAAGGGCTGCCCGACATGCTGACAAGCACTCTCCAGCATCCGAAGCTCAAGGGACTCTAGGGCTCTAAGCTGCTCTAAGGTCCATTCGGCCCACTCTGGGTGCGCAAGAGCAAGAATAGCAAGGCTCAGATCTCGAGAAATAGGGGAGGCTACGTTTGGCTCCAGGATGTCAGCTCGAGGCATGTAGAGGTTCCGGCCCTGCCGTATATCTAATCGACGTGGGTCCTGTACTAGGTCTCGCAGGGCCAGGGTTGACATCTTTAAAGGCTTCCCGCAGGTATGTATGTATGTGCTAAAACTAGATGCACCAATATAGACGTACAGAGTCATACGCACACACATAAATAAATATGTATATAAACTATATATATATATACATATACATATGTTACATACATGCATACATACATACATGCATGCATACATACACACGGGCACACACAGAGGCATACACACATAGGCACGTACATACATGTCTCAGTATTTATCGTCAACCACCAGCAAATAGACAACTATGCTTGCATAGGTGAATAATCACATAACAAATGACTAAACATTTAAGACATGTAAACAGGCACAGCCACAAACATGAATACACATCGAAGCTTTCAGACAGTCGGAATAAGGTGTCAAAACAAAAATCCTATACCCTAGACCAAACCCCAAGCCCGGTGGGCTTTTGTGAGGGAGAAGCTCCAGTAACGTGGGGATTCATGCAGTCCGACATGACTGGGATCCTCGCCTGTATTCGGCGAGTGTGCGAGTCCAAACCCTCAGCCGAAGTAGGAAGCACCTTTAACTTTAAGCCCTAAATCCTAAGCCCTACGCGGTCCTTGGGGCTTTTCAGTGATGGGATGCTGTGTTCTGTTTTCACGGCGACTTCGCACCGTGAGACCTCGCCTGGCTTGTCCGAGTTGTGAGAGCGTAAGGCCTATACCAAACAATGGCTGATGTTGGCCTTGATTTCCTCTCTGTGAATCTGCCACAGTTCCGAACATACCCTGCAATGCGGCTCGTCCTTGCTAAATAGGAGGGAAAAAATCAAACCCAAAACCCTACGTCGTGAAGCCATGCCTGCCTTGCGCGAGTGTGTGAGTCGAAACCCTAAACTAAACCCTATAACCACCTGGTGTTGCATCTGGTTCTTGTTCGTTGGGGATGCCCAGTCCTGTTTCACGTCGCCTTCGCACCGTGAACCTCGCCTGGCATGTAGTTGTGAGAGCGTAAACCCTATAACCACGAAGGCTCCCAAACCCTAAACCCTAATGCAGCTCCTCGCATGTCTGAAGTCTTTTCGGCACACATTACCCTGCAATGCGGGCTCGTCCTTGCTAAGTGGGAGGGAAAAAAACCCTAAGCCCTAAGCCCTGAACCATAACCACGAAGGACTCTTGGGAGCTGGGCCCCTTCCTCGGCTTCTCCCTCGCTTCTCCGGCAGCTCTTGGCTGCGCAGAGCTCTGGGGAGAGGCCCAAGGCTTCTGTAAGACAGTATTTTATTTTATAGATCTAGCAGATTGAATTAAGGACTATATGGGGTTTATACTAGCTTGAAATTCAGGTTTTTTATGGGGGGGTTTGGTTGATAAGGGTTTTTGCAGGGTGTAGGTTTCGGGCCCTCATCATGAAGGGGCTGGTTGGGTTTCTTTTTATTCCTACAGAGACAATAGCATACGAGAGGTGTAGAGCGCTGCTGCCCGGTGACGGTGTCGGGACCCGACGAGTTCTGCCTTGCATGCAGGCTGCCAGCGGTGTCACGTTGCAAGGCTGGAGCGGCCAAGGCCAAGGCTGCTTTGGGGGCCAAGAAGTAATGAAGAGATATTCAGAGGCTATCTGCAGCAGGGTATATGTCGTGTCTACATGCGAACAGCAGGCGAGCAGCACACCTGTCTCAAGCAGCCAAATGGGAGTTTCCGAAAATAAGGGGGACCCTTATTCTGGGGTCCTTATAATAAGGATCCTTCTATTTAGGGTGCTATATTAGGGTCCCCTATTTTCGGAAAGTCCCCCGAAATCGAGCCCTTCATGGCTGCAAGGAGGCTCCTGGCAGACGCTCCAGCGCTTCGGGGACCTGGCGCCAGGATCTCTGCAGCTCAGGCCCCCACCAATTTTTCGAAAGTCCGGCGTTGGGAGGTTTAGGGTTCAGGGATGTTCAGGGTTTAGGGTTGACTCGGAGAGAGTTCCCAGTACTTTGAGGGTCTTTGATGGGCTGGGTTTCAGAAGATCTGCCTTGAGGTCGTCCCAGCAACAAGGATCATGTTCTTGTGGAGTGCTGCTTGACCATGACCGGGGCCCAGGCTTTCGGACTTGGGGTATTGTATTGTGCGGTAAAGATACATGCGCTGCCCAGTGTGTCAGGATTCCTCCAGATGCAGCTTCTTGGCTTCATCTCGGTCATATTTCGTGAATGTGATGCGTTCGATTTTCTTTCCTGCTTTTGCAGATGCCCCAGATCCATGAGGACGCTGCCATGCTAGTGTAAGTGCCCCGCCGAGCTTTGATTCAATTTTCGTTTTTCAAGTGGCTCAGTTAAATCTGGTCTTGTCCACCGGAGGCCTGCAATTTCGAAGTGGCCAGTGTCCAGGGGCCTGAGGGCCACTTGTTAGCAGAGAGAGATCTAGCAAAAGGGTAGCACTGACTTGAAGGCAGGCGCTTCCAGTCACCCCACCCCATTGGCCACCGACACGGGAAACTTGAATCGGCTTGAGCACGATCTTGTGTCGTCTGGTCCAGAGGAGGTCCTCCGAATTCCCCGAACAGCCAGAACTCTGCTTGCGAGACCTCGACAGTTGGTGGGCCTGCATTTGCAGGCATGCGACTACTCCCTAACTGTGCCGGGCAAGCTCAGTGGAGGCTTCGTGCTCCGCTCGCTGCCGCTCGCCAGGAGTTCATAGGTCGGATGACAATGCAGGTCTTGCACGGGCATGAACCTTGGGGGTGATGGAAAGGCTTGCGGTGACACACTACTTGCAGCAATGCATATTCGGCTTATCACATCAACCACAGACTCTTGAAACTGCTTCGTTGCTGAGGTCACTACCTGGTCTGTCTATGAGCTGCAGTTCTTCAGCGATGATCTCTGCGTCCTGGCCGTGCTGGCTTCGGCAAGCTGAGTTACAGGGCAAAGGTCCACAGACACAGTGTAGATCCAAGGCTCAAACAACTCGGTGCCTGTGAGGCCCCAACAAGGCCACATGGCCGGTGCGCTTGATCCCTTGAACAGAGAGTTGGGCACACCACAGAAATCCACAAACAGAAGACGAACAAACTTGACCTGAAATCAACAGGTGCCTAAGCTGGGTGGCACAGTAGTACGACGACTTAACAGTTTTGTGGTCGCCGCAGTAATCGCAGTAGTGTAGTTGCAGCTTCAGCAGCAGCAGCAGCAGCAGCAGCTGCAGCTGCAGCTGCACAGCAGCAGCAGTAGTAGTATTACTCGTCGTGGTTGTGGTGGGAGTGGTGGTGGAAGTAGTGCAAGTGGTAGGGGTACTGTAGTCGTATGTATCCATGCATGCTCAGCACGCTTATATGCATGTATATATATATATACACACAAATAAGCTCATGTAATAGGGCAGAATGCAATACAAATAGAATGAATATAATAGAACAGTTTATCATATCTGATGGTGGTCTGTTTGTTGAGGTTTGTTTTTCTGGTTCTGTGCTGGGTGTGTGAAGCAGGGACGGCTTGTAGCCGCGTAGCCGACTGGACACCTGCCATGTAAAGCCTTCGGGATTTGCCATACGGGAGCCAGATTCCATATATATATATATGTATATATATATATATTTATTCATATAATAGAATAGCAGATCATCGACTGTAATATTACATAATAATTGTTTTCAGTACATGATATATACACTCCTTCTCAGAGGCATCTATCCCGTTCGCGGCCTTACCTTCGCGCAGCCCCGAGCCAGTGTCGACCGCAGCGAAGATGGCGACCTGGCCACAGCCACTCGGATCGCAAGAATGGGCCTGGATGGGGGCTTGATTGTGCGCACAAAGCATGCACATCGATGATCATTGGGTTGAAGATGGCTTTGATATCATGGCTGAGAGCATGGCCTTAGGAGCTGCCTTATGGCCATGGCTGCTACTGTAACATTCACTGCAAGCGCTGCCTGCAAAACGGGCAAGACAATCGCATGCTAAACCCTGAACACCCAAACTGCACACTCGAAGTTTGGTCAGGCTTGGTCTTTAGCTACCGCTGCTCAAAGCGCATGGATCGGCATGGTGTCGCTCTCAGCTTGCATGCAGCAGTCAGCTTCCAATGTAAATCAGGTTGCCGTCCATCGGGTCCTGGGTTCTTGGAGACAGTTGATGCAACGAGATGTGATGCGGATTTGCCACCATTAATATTACCCTCAGGCCTTCGACGAACCTGTCCCAGTGCAGTGCGTCGCTGGGCTGCAGACATGCAAGCAGCTGAGCAGAGACACCTAGGCGCGTCTCAGCTGCTCCGCATATCTTTCCACATCTTTCCACACTGTACTGTGTCGGTCGGCTTACGTCGGGTTCCAGCCTGCTGAAACTGGAGAACCGGAGCTCGGTGGGCTCTGGCAGGGCTTCAAGCTTTCACACCGCTTCATGTGCTTATTGATCATCGAACCAACTCACGGCAGCAACTTTTCTCGAATCCAACAGTCTCGTGCAAGATGAACCTGGCCTAGCCACCAAAGGACGCATCATCCCGAAGTTAGTACAATGGTGACGATAATCCTCAAGGCCGCGCAGTCGGTTGGGGTCAGGTTCGCATCGCTCAGTTCTTCGAGTCGCAGGGCTCGACAGCGCAAGATCTGGAGGCAGATCGTTGTGGTTGTCTTTTTGGCTGCAGCTTTGAGTTCCCATAGAGCGGAATGAGCGGCACGAAAGACTTTTGTCCGTGCGTCTACGCATGCGTCCTGGCACAGGTCTGGAATGGCACCATGTGGATAGTCAATCGCACGCTGTGGCTTGTACGAAGAATAGTCAAGGTCGCCTTTTCGGTGCAATTAGTTAGTATCGGGGGACAGGGACCTGAAGTGAACCGTGCTGCGAACGCCAGGTGAATCCGCCTGAGGCTCTTTGCCGTAAGTAGTCGCTTCCCGGAAACCTCGCCTGACTCCGTCGAGTGCTGGTGCCAAAAATTGGCCATTCCTGTCTGTTGCATCATCGAGATCTCTGACCGAGGACCGTTCCACCCCCGGAGATTGGCCAGTTCCAGCATCTGCCTCCGCCCAGCCTTCCAGGCACGGCAATACCTGGACCGCAAATGTTCGTAGTTTAGGCAGGTGGTTAATTCCTGAACAGCTAGTAACAGTTTAACATGATCTTTCTAGGGACTCTAGGGATCACTTGTAGAATGACATACCCCTAAACCTGAACCCTGAAAGAGCCTAAACCCCGAAACCCTAAACACCCTGAACGGCAGATCAGTGATCTACCCCCCAAAAAAGAACCTGAGTTCGATGCAGAAACTGTCCTGCCAGGTGGCTCACAGTGGGCGGCCTCAGCCTTGCACTGGATTCTGTTACTGTGTTAGGGTTTTTATGCATCTGTATACACATATATAAGTATATAATCATGTATATATATATATATATACATATTCATATACATACGTATACATACATAGCGTTACAGTACCGGTATATCGGGGGTTGGTTCAGGTAATTGGGGCAACATTCTCTAGAGATGGTGGGCACAGGCATGGGCTAGGAAACAGTCCCGCGCAATCCACGGAGAAAGCTCAAGAATGTGAAGAGCATAAAGGAGAAACCGCACGAGCTGAACATTTCATCTTCGATATGGCTGAGCATGCATGAGCATTGTACTTCAAGTCTTGGAATATTACGCCATATTGTAACATATACTGGTCTATTATATACACGTATATATGTACATACATACATACATACATACATACATACATAAACACATACGTACATACATACATGTATTATTTGTTTGTCTATTTATTTGTTTATGCACTGATTTATATGTATGTATGTATGTATGTATGTATGTATGTATGTATGTGTATATATATATACATACATAGTGTTATTTATTTGTGTATTTATGTCCACATACTTCCGGAGAGCATCTTGGCTCGAAACCTCGAGACTCGTTGCTCGGGTCATCGACGGAAAGACATGTCCAGGCGCCTGTGAAGTTTGCAGATCGCGGTTTAGGGTTTACTGCAGGGCATGTACAAGTCTGTGCAAAAAGGGCTTGGGGTCTCTGGAGGGTCCTGACTGTCGGACATGTTACCAAGGCTGGTGCCTTAATTCCTTTTTCCGAGCAACAGTAACATGCAAAGTTGAACTTTGTTCGGGATTGAAGTTGAGGGTGCTAGGATGGGGATCGACGTGCTGAACACGAGAAGGGGAGCGGAGCAGCGTTTCTGGTACCTCTCAGACTACTCCTTGCGCCCGGCGGACGAAGTGCTCCCAGTGCAGCTCTGCTCCGCGTGCAAGCCTGCAAGATCGTAAGACATCCTGTGGTAATCGTTGCGCAGGCACTTCGTCGAGGAGATCAGCCGCTTGTTCGCCCTTCTGTTCTCGGACTTGTGCGTAGTAGCCCTCTGTAGACTTGCTGACGGGTTTGGTTTGCGTTTGCTGCGGCTGTGGAAACCAGACTACACGGATGCCCTGCATCAAAAGGGTCTGTTGCCGTCCAAGGCGCACTCGACACTTGGCCGAGCTTTACTTTCGGGTAGGTGCCCGTCTGCTCCTGCCGGCCGACGGCCCCGGGTTGTGGCTAAGCGTGGCTAGCTTACAGAACTGCCATGACATGAAGCACGAAGTGCTGGACTGCATCCACCCTCGCGGGGAAGCTGTGCTAACAATGCATTTGTTGCTATCATGTGTTCGCTCTTGCTGCTGTCAGGATCAAGAAAACTCTTCGAACTCCGACGGAACCGACAACTATTTGCATCTCAGCAGCAGCCGGCTTGCTGCGGAGGTGTCAGATGTTTTAAGTAAGCTATCCCCAGTAGGCTGTAACTCTGCCTACTTCTGCCTTACTTTGTCCTCGGCCTCCAAACAAAACCCTGAGAGCGTCACCCAGGTTGGAAGACGGAGAGGATGTTGACGTGTTGGCCTGAGAGCAGAAATGGACCCTGAAGCTGCTTCAGGTGGCAAAAGGACCCTGAAGCTGCTTTGTGGCTTCTTGGGAGTTTCAGAAAAGTTGGGGCACGTGATTCGGGGATCTTTATCGCCCCTAGACGACATCTATAGGAATCTATAGATGGTCCGCCTTTTCCTGCTGGTGTCTGGGAAATCCAATCAGACTTATTTTGTGCGCAGTGTCTGATTGTTTAGCCGCGTGTCGCTCAACTTGCAGTTGTGTCCCCTCCCGCAACCAGTAATCGGCGTCAAGAACAAGGTTAGCTGCTGCGTGCTTCAGACGCCACACTGTCCTTGAGTTCTCGAAAGCGCTGGCAATAAATCACGCAGTCCATGGATTGCTAGCCGAGGCCATCCATGCCTCCTTGAAGCAGATCGATCGTGCAGCTCAGCTTTCATTTGCCTTACCTTACCATTCATGTCTGTAGCAGAAGTCTGTGCTTGTGCAGCGGCTGTGCGCACTGCACACTGTGCATTGCTGCGCATGATTGAAGTGTTACGGACGTGGCATGTTCATCCTCAGAACGAGCCTGTCTCGCACTTTGCGCCCCGCGTGAGACGACAGTCACAGACATGTCGGTCGCTGTTCAGTTAACTTCAGAGTTGTTGCATGCGCCTTACGCGTAATGCACTAGCGCCATGGCCCTTGGTAAACCAGACGAGATTTTTCATGAAATTCCCAAAGAGCAGTTGTGCAATGGCTTGGAACATCCGTAATTCAAAGAAGGCATTTGCAACTTGCCCTACCTGCCCAAGGAGAGGGAAGACTTGGAAGCGGAGTTGGCAAGATGGAAGTCTCGCGTGCAAAGGCGGGTTCTATCACCCCGAGTGCCGTCAGAGGATGTTTTTACATCTCGGTCACATCCGGTTCTGCGACACAGCAACCATCAACTTGAATCTGAAACTGCTAATTACCCGCATGGCCTTCAGAGATTCTGAACCCTTGACTAGAAACCTGTGGGATGGACACATGTGAAGAAGTAGGCAGCGCCCTTTGCTGGGCTGCAGTAGCTTCGTACACCCAGCTGTTTGTTGCCATCTTTGTTACTAGTAATAGTATACTATATCATGATATAAAATGTTTTGTGCTACATACTACAATATAGTATATATGATCCCGGCTCGCCCCCCCCCCCCGGGGGCGTCGTCGTCGACGAACCGAGAACCGGATCATAAACTGTATATGGTGTATACGGTTCTATAATACTATATGATAACATATTCAATTATTATTGTCCCACCGGCTGCCACGGTCTGCTCGAAGACGCTCAGGGGAAATCAGGTAAACGGTAGGCAGTGACTTTAATCACCTCTCCTCTGAAGCATGGCGTCATAGGACCTAGAGACACAACGCCCAGTCTGGCAATCTGAAGCAACCACTTGTCATTGTCATACTTGTGGGTGAAAAGTTGAGCGATTCGTTGACAGGCCGCCCACAAAGCGCAAGCTCGAAGCCTTCCACGCCCCAGCCGTTAAACATGCTGGGAGTTGACATGAAAGTCCCGACCTCACAGGGTGGAGTCTGAGATCAAGCAGCTCAATGTGTCGCGGCATGGTGAAGAGCAGTGGGATCGACTTCGCCAGCGGAAGGAAAGACAGAGAAGACAGCAACCCCACAAAAACTACAAAACCCTAGTAGGACGCATGAGGTGGAGCCAAATTACGGCCTCAAAGCTGGGTGTAGGGGGGCTGCCCCTATCAAGCGCCTCAACCCTATCCTATCTGTTTATGATAATGGGACAAGATTCCGGTACCCACCAGAGGGGCTGATTTTAGAGGTAGCAGTGTTGGGTTCCGTTCGGTCTCGGCAGGTGGGCAGTGTGCTATATCTCTCCCCCTGCCTGACTGTTCGTTGCATGCTCGTGCAGTAGACTGAGATCCGTTCGTTGTTGCTGGCTGCCTCTCCACTGGGACCTGCATCTTTGCTCCCCTAAACCTATAAACGCTAAACCCATATCTTGAAATGTCGCATCTCCTAGCGTTATATACCCGAAGAAGACCGAGCTTAGCAGACTCGTTCCAGTGTTGAGGCCGAGGCTAAATTGCAGCTTCTATAGGCTCTATAGCATTCAGGGCCCAGGGGGCAGGATGTGTTGCGCCTTAAAGCCCTAAAGGCCCCTAAACCCTCCTGCCTTGGTGCGAGTGTGAGGGGCGAACCCCCGAAACCCTACGCCCTGAACAAAAAAACCCGAGGTCAGAGAAAAAATGCTGAATCACAAGTTGGACATGAGCCGGAACCCCGGGAAGGGCCCTGTCGCCTCCAAGGGCTCTTTGCGTGCAGATCTGCCCTGGGTTTTCTGGTTTCCGTGCTAGTGCGGTGAACGTCTTCGCCTGATCGCTGTTCAAGTTCTTTCGTTGCTGCAAGTGTGGCGGGGGACAGCTTGTGTGGACAGCTGCCTTGACACCCTTCGGCTGCACACAGATCCTATGCAGGCACACGATCAGAGATTGACCACGAAGTCGAGGAGATCCCTCCCGGCCCTGAGTGCCTGCAGTTCGTGGATGGAGCCTTGGTGCGATTTAGGGAGCAGAGTTGGACACTACAGTAGAGGTCGGAAGGAACAAGCACGGAAGGCTCAAACAGAGCCAAAAACGTGGGATGCCGGAAATCCGGAACCTCAGGAAGACCGCGGGTTTGGGTCAAAGTCGCTGCCCCCCCGTGCCAGAACAGCTGAAGACGTCACGCCGCAAGTTGTGGAGTCTGCCGTGTTGCGGCCCTTGCCCGCCTGTCGATTGCGAGTCAAAGTATGAGTGTACGCATGAGAGGAAACTCAGCGTGCCGACCTATTCGGTACAGGACAACAACGCATTCAAACCGCCAGCATCGATTACACGAACAACACAAAGAAAAGGCCACCGCAAGCACCACCTCGACCGCCACGATGTCCACCCCGACAACTGCCCAAGGCAATGCTTTCAACTTCATCTCCATGCTGATTGCAGCCTGGCTGCAACTCTACGGCCCTGCGACTGCGCATTGCGGTGGCAGACTACGAAGCCACTACACACCCGTTTTGCAGTCGGGAGTGCCACCCCATAGCCTGCAGTCGTTCAAAGAACAGAGATCCCTCCTGTGCCAAGGTCTTCATGAACGTGGTGGTCATGTTTGGGAAACACTTCTGGGATCCGATGATCTCAATCAGGGGGGTGACTTGGCTAACTAGCAACTCCCTCCAACGCGATGCATAGAGGCGTAGATATCTACAAGGTACAAAGTTCATCCGTTGGGAAGGGGCAAGAGGCGATGACATCCGACCCGCTTCTAGCAAAGGACCTGTGGTACGTCGACCAAGCTTTCCTCATCTTCTACGTCATCGTGCTGGCCTTATGAGATTTACCGGGTGCGTCGTGTACACACACACAACCCAAAGTTGGGAAGCCGGTGGTCTGACCCGACACATGTAGGACGAGCATGTGAGGGTGCATGAACCGTTCTCTGACACTGTCTTTGTCGATTCGAGCTGCGCAAGTCGCGGGTATGTGGACGTTGGATCTGCTACGCTTTTCGGCAATGCCATGCAAGAAATACAGATGCAAGAAATGCTTTGCTGCCGTGCTTGCATGCCGAGGGTGTCCTTGAGGATTGAGCCGAAGAGGTCAACAGTTGTAGAAGAAATCCGTGACATCCTTGAGGAGTTGGGCCTACGCTTCGCTTTGTGGCATGACTCGCTGCTTTTCCACCGTCCTCTCTGGAAGACCTGGTCTCTTGGCCACAAGTGGAGGATTCATCCGCACGTCCGGCTGATGTTTCGGCATTTCGGCTTGTGGGTTGTCTTTCCCTCATCCAGTCGCGCGGTCCTTTCTCTGAGCATGAAGGACATGTTTGGGTCGAGTCGTCAGACAAGGTCTTTTTGGCTGGACACCGTCATCGTGCCTCGTGGAAGCAGAGCTGAGGAGGGGAAGTGAGTAGCAAGCCGCAGCCTCATCGTGTTGTATCTCAGCGAAACGCCCAGGTTAGTCTCCATCCTGGAGCAGTGGCTGCTACCTTTGTTCTTCAACCACGAGGGCATGGGCTTCGGCGCCTTCCGAATCCTGAGGCCCGGAGCCCAGGCGCTCGTTTGCGCTGCAGGACTTTTGCAAAAGGAAAGGGGCATACTATAGAAGCCTGGAAACCTACTTACATCATTTTTCTAGGGCTCCTGATTGGCATTGCACCCTACTACACCCAATACCCAACCAATGCCCAATTATGGATTAAGGCCCCTGGATTACACTGGCCCTTCTCTGCAGACGCCTCACATCTTTCTTGTAGTATCATACTCCTGAAAACCCTAGTCTAATTATGAAGGCCCCTGAATGACCCTGAAAGAACCCCAGAGCCTTCAGTGTCCGATTCAGGATCTTCCGATTCGCCCGAGTTCTACGGGTATGCAGCAAGGCGGGACACTTGCGCATTCTAAAGGGGGATGGGGTAATCTGGGTGAAGGGGTTACTTGTATACCGTAGATACTATCATAAGCCCCCTTGCCAAATCATTCAAGCCTATGAGAAGTCTGGGGCCTTAGGGCTCTCTTGGCACTTTGTGGCCAGCATTTTCACAGCCAGCCTCGCTGCATCTGGTTGTGTCGGGCAAACTGGCTCTTGGCTCTGTTGCACTGTCGCCAAGGTGAACAACGCTGGTTCTAGCTGGGCGGAAAACGACTACTTCATGGCCTTCGTGTGCCTTGGAAGAGAGAAACGGCCAAGTCATTGCTGCGCCTTGAGTGGTTGTATAGCAGGGCGGAGACGATTCCGGCGAAGCACACTGCGGTACGCATATGACATGGCAGGTGTCCATTGTATTCCCAGCCTCCGTCTGCTTTCACGTTTATTTCCTGGACCCGAAGCGAATAAGGATGTGCGTGATCTTTCTCAACTGCCTTATGATGGGCGTTCAGGCAGTGCATTCCCGTCCTAGCACGACAGTTTGTCGCCGCCAATGCCCGGTTCTGATTGATGTTCTTATTGCCGATGCTGAAGCCGCCAACTGAATGTCAGACACTGGCCTCGCAGAAGTGTATGCCTTGGCGAGCGCAGGAAGACTTTCCGAACCTCAGTTGCTGGGTCTACTTTGAGAATCTCTTTCTCGGCACCGAGCTCGGTGCAAACATTTCTTTTCAACATGCGTCGTCGCAGAACTGGACAAACCGTTAGAGTCATTCCGCAACAGCCTTGGGGAGTCAGGCATCTTCATGTTTGAGATCATCATCCGCATCAGCCATTTCGGCATCAGGTTCTTCTACAACGATCAGTGTCTTGGCTGCCCAGAGCTAGATTTTTCACTGCAGTCTTCACTTCCGGATGCTTGACAACATGCACTAGCTCTTGGCAGAACAAGCTTCGGGACAAGTCCTGACGCGAGTGATCTCCTACCCCTGATCTCAAAGACTAGCTCACTGTCCAAACTTTAAGCTCTACCGTGGACAAGGTGGGTTTTCAACTGGCTGGACTTCGCAGCTGGCATGCAAGTAGAGCTGTGCTGGCAGACTCACGTGAGTTCTGCAGTTTCACGAGCGAGGTCATTGTGGCCGGCGGCACCCCGCTTGCACGCAGAATCATTTCATGCTAGATCCCTGCAGCTGGTTTGTGTGCTTGAGTGTGAAGTGAAACTGGTGGACACCGCATGCAGTCACAGATGACGCCCAGGTGTTCTGGATCAATGGTTCATGCCTCTCTACAACCTTCTCACTTCCGAGGCGAGCACGCACAATGATGACCAGCACCGCCGTCGTTGCCAGCGTACATCTTACCATCTTCGTCAGCATCACACTCACCAGCCCGCCGCCACCGCCACCACCCCCCACCACCCCCACCAAAACCACCACCACCACCACCACCGCCACCACCACGTCGGTCATCTTGATCATGAACATCATCTACTCCTGGCACGAGCACATCAGCATGCCGCCACAGGTTGGCTATCATAATGCCCGCAATAGTGCGCGTCGGTGCCGTGGCTATTGCCCAGCAGGATTCATGGTCGGGTCTATCATGAAGTTGATGATGGTGGCGGTTGTGCTAGATCAGAGATGATTATGATGTTGATGATGATAATATGTATAATCAGGATCGCAATTGTAGTGCTCAGGCTCTTTAGACAACAGTGGTCATGGTGTTAATGATGGGTATCCTTATCGTCATCCTCAGACTACGATTACGGGGTGACTGCGGGTGTGCCCGCAGTCGGGGCCTGCACCCAATCCGAATGCGGCTGGAGGCTGGCGTTGAGGATAGCGGCGACAAGTCCTTGAGCATCTCGGCAGCACTTGTCAGACTTGACATGCTTCTCTTTATTGCTGTCAGCTGCTGGTGTTCCACGCCCTTTGTTGTTCCAGGGCGCCTTGTCGCGTTAGGACCTACTTTTCGCGGGCATCGTGACGTGGTAGGATGTGTGATAGATAGGTCCTGGAGAACCTGCCAACACACTTGCAAGCGTTGGCCACATCCTCCGGCCAAAGACATTCCAGAACCTCCCGAGTCGCAAGTGCCCACTACAACACCCATAGCAATCCCAAGCTGCAAACCAAACAAGTCACAAACCGTGCAGAGGCCGACACAGTAGCTTTGACAGCTGACTTGCATGCGGCCTGCCTCCGAGGCAATGTCATGAACATGCTGAGGCCTCTTGGGCAGCACACAATCGCCGGCGGCATCGCAGGGCTAGCCTTTCCATGTAGACAAATCATGGAAAAAGAAGTATGTAACCTATGAGCCGCGGTGCGGCATCCTGCCCAGCCTTCTGAAACTGTGTTATTCAGGAGAGTCAGCCCGTGGCAGACGGACTGAGTGTTATGAGGCCGGCGTGATCTCGCAGCAAACTGCGCCGTCGGACATACCGTCATGAAGCCGTCGCACTGCATCGCTGTGTTCTTGATGCATCTCTCTTGGGCTTTCTCACAGCGAAGCGACATCCGGTGACGAAGAGATTTGCTTGCATGCATATGTAGTTTTCGAGGGGTTGCACCAGAAACCCTGGAAGACTTGCTTAGCCCATGCGTGCAAGTCTCGCTGGCGTGTAAGCGCCGAAAGTCGAAATCATTGAACTGAGGATGGAATTCGAGCGTGTAGTAGTATCGACTGAGACCTAAGCGAACATGCCTCACCTGGGTGTCTGAGCATGAGCGTCCAAACTGAGGATGCTTCGACTTGCTCCTTGTCCGCAAACACCGCATAGACAAACTGTCCTGTTTTCGGTTGCGAGCATCTCAGAATCAAGATATGCAAGACTGCCAACTGCACATATTGTGATTACGATTGCCGCTCTTCTCCCTATGCTTGTAGCTTACTATTAACAGATTGTCTTTTTAGAATGACAATAATGTTTGCGATTTATTCTGCTTGTTGTCCTGACTGTTTACAGATAGATACTTAACATTATATATATATCTATCTATCTATCTCTGTGTCTCTGTGTGTGTGTGTGTGCGTGTGCATGTGTGTTATGGGTATACACAGTCGCACACACATGTTTTATATGTACAGATCCATATTTAGATTCATCACAGTTGGACAGTTCACTGTGGGGGGACGACGACTCGACGACCACAGCGTGACTTGACGAGCTCAAGCAGTATTGAGCAATGGACGTAGAAAGCCGTATTGAGCAATGGACGTAGAAAGCCCGTGTGCTAGGGTTTAGGGCTTACCCCTCCTGGTCGATACATTAAATATCATTAACAGCTAATATTCACATGAAGAATAAGAGTAGTGATTCTGAAGTTATTACTAACATGAACATGAACACCCATAGCAACAACAATAGACTTACACTGACTTACACGATTAGTCATGATAAAAAAGAGCAATAGTAACTTTAATGGTACTATTTCTCGTCGTAGCAGCAATTATACTACTACCCATGATAACAATAATACTAATACGTGTAAATGAATACTAGTAAGAATACTAATACTAAGAATGGTAATTGAAACAATGGGAGACAAGGTCCGGCTCCTTCGGTTAGTGCGCCTGGAATCTTGCCGGCACTCACATGTGGTTGGCCTTTTTTCTTTTGTAATCGAGGCTCCTTATGGGGTGTGTGGAGATTAGGGCTCAGGGAGTTCAGGGTCCAGGGGTTTGAGGGGTTTAGGGCTCAGGGTGCATGATGAAAGTGACTTGCGGCTTGTTTTTCTTATATGTCCAGTCAGAGGCAAGGTTGTCTCGCCATACTTACGCCTTCCCAACCAGGAGCACAAATTCCCACATGTCACCCTGAAGCCTCCACCTCAGAACTCATAACAGGCTTCAAAGCCAGCGATCGTCAAGGGGACGACGCTTCAGGTTCGTGGCATCCCTCCACTCTACAACCTCCTGAAGGGTATCATCTCAGCAATGCAGGGCATGGCCTGGCACTTCGGATGCAATTAGCTTCCAAAGCGATTGGGCTTCTTGAGATTAGGCTGTACAAAGCCAAGGTTGCTGCTCCTCACCGTCGCCGCAACCTGTCCGCATATTCATCAATCGCACCAGCAGCACTTCTCGAGCGGCCTGCTGTTTGTGTTCGCGTGCGCCCGTATGTGTGGGGGACATGGGCTTAAAGCTCAACACGGTGACTGACCCGGAGCTACACTCGACAAGATGATAAGACAGCATGGCTTGCAGTTATCTGCCGTTCTGCGAACTTCACATTCAGCAGCCAGCAAACATGAGACAGGACTTCGGATTTGGCTTCAGAGGCATGGGAATTCTCCTTCATGCAGAATTCGACTTAGAGTCTCGCCTTCTGGGAGCGTCAGACTGCCTCCTGGCACTGACGTCGAGAGGCTTCTCGGTGGCTTGACCTGAGTGCACAATAAGATCACAACCTAGCAAAGGTCATCTACATCATTGCCCTGGTTGCAATGAAGCTGATGGGAAAGGAGCGGGGAACTGAACGTTCGCGCTGGACCAGATGACGAGTTGTGGTGATTAGTATCCGAAGTCGCATGATGAACAACGCTATCATGCTGCGTCATCTGTTGTGCTCACTGCCAGCGTTCTCGCTCTCTGGCTTCACTGGATTTGTCTTCGCACTGCTGGGTAGTTTCCGTAAGCAACCCTGACATGTAGAGGACACCGTGATGAGGGAATTAACGGGAGCCGTTAAAGGAGCGCCGAAAGCCCGGAAAGGAAGCAGAGCTGTTCCTTCTCTTGAGGACGGCCTGGTCACCGCTTCCGGTTCTGAGGATGTCAGAGGTGTGTTCCCATCAGTCGGCACCGAGCTTGCAATGGGGCTAGGGGATATGTTGCTTGATTCGTTTTTCGAATGTCATCGTTGCCGTCGTGGTGGTGGTGGTGGTGGTGGCGGTGGTGGCGGTGGCGGCGGCGGTGGTGGCGGTGGTACTAGTTGCTGCTGTTGTAGTACAGTAATTGTAATACTTGTACTCCTACTAGCAGCAGCTATGAACCATAAGACATAATATGATAATCAGTTATGTTATGTGTATGTGGTGTAAAACACACACTATATATATATATATAGAGAGAGAGAGAGAGAGAGTTATATACATGCATACACATATGTAACATTATGTAGCATGGAATCTGAAAGGTGCACAGCAACGGCCTGCAGGAGCGATTGAAACCTACATGAAAGGGCTTATAAGCACCAAGAAATAAGCAGGGTTTAGGGTTTAGGGTTCAGGGTCTGGTTTGGGGTTTAAGGTTTAGGGTCTGGGGTTTTAGGGTTTAGCATTTGGGGCTTAGGGTTTAGGGTCTAGGGTGTAGGGTTTATGGGGTTTAGGGTTTAAGTGTACGCAAGGGAGGCAGTGCTGGCAGTCATCAAGTCCGGTTTCAAAATGTATACACAAGATAGTCAGGAGCATACGCGTGAGGACAGAAGCTAAAAGTGCATGGTGGATAGACGCATACTCGTGTTGCATATCCACTTAACTGAGTCAAAATGTTAGACCTACAGTCAGGTTCTCGGTGCATACGCATACATGTGCACATGGCAACATGTCAACAAAGCACCGTCAGCTCAAGATTGTGATGCTCTTGGGCATGGTAGGAGTTCAAGCAGCTAAACAGGTGGGTAGGCTAATCACAATTCAGGTTGAACTACACCGGCTAGTAGGTATTGTAACCAGCAGCACCAATCGTCATGAATTTTACTGAAAACAGTTGCACCGCCACGTTACGGGCAACGTCACTGAAATGGTCTTTCACAGCCTTGACTCTCTGCTTGCATCCGCCGCAGCCGTTACCTCGGACGGCAATCCCGGCGGCCCCTTTCGAACTCGACGCTTTCGTTGATCTCGCCAGGCCAGTCGGCATGGCAAGCTCCATTCACTGCGCAAGGGCTTGACCATGACTAAAAAGGGTCGAGCATGCTGTCAGAGACCCCTCCCCCTTCCTAAGCAACCTAAGCGCCCTGTGCCAGAAGAACCATGGCTGGCGACCCCACACAAGCAGAAGAGGATAAGCCTCCGAAGATGACTCTGGAGCAGCTTGGACCAAGAGAGAGATCGCGGCGTTTCTGAGTGAAAGCAGCTGTGTTCTGAAATCAAGAGCCCAGGCAGGCGCAGGAGCACGTTGAGTACGATCTCTCGATGAAGCGGCTTGGCGGAAGTTCTTAAGTGCAAGGCCGAGACCTTGGCGGCCTCGAGGTCAGAGTCTGCATATCGTGTGAACGCCTATAGTGACAGTGACAAGAGGCTTGCCTCCCCGACATGTTTTGAGGATGGTGCCTTTCCTGGACAGACATCTCATCTTCCCAGTCTTCAACTTCCTGCAGGCCCGATGGGGCTTTTCTAAGTGCCGTACACATGGATTTGTTGTTGCTGCTGATAACGGAAGCAATGTGTGTTTTACCCCTAGTCCTAGCATGAGCGCGAAGGGGTTCAACACTGAGTTCTAGGCAAGCCGGAAAGGTTCGGCAGCCCATGCCAGTTCTGCAGGAGACTGGCCTGTACAACCAGACCGCTATCCAGCGAGCGCAGCTGACGCTGCTCGCGGAAACGTATCGTGCCTGATTTGTGCTTATCACGTGCTAGAACGGCTACAAGCGCATGGTATCCACGCGAATAATTGTGTGGCGGATCACGTCTACCCCTGGCAACAGTTCTCGTGAACCTAGAACAGCATTGCGCATGAATGGGTTGATGCGAGCCTGCATTTCATTTTTGACCGAGGAACATGATCGACTGGGCCCTGGAGACTTACACCATGATCGGAGAAGAGCAACCGCAGGAACTCATCGACAGGCAGCATGCTGGTTTCTGGTGTGATAAACGAATAGCGATTCAGTTTCCTCCCTGCGTAAGCTCAGCGAGAGGTCGCTCCGAGGCAGAGGGTACCCGGACATTCTCAGACCCCTTGAAGTTGAGGGGCTGGCAAGCCTGCGACAAGGCGAGACTTGGTGCTACAGCAGCTAGAGCTGTCGCGCGAGAAGGCCGGTATCCGTGAACCACAGCCGCAAGCCAACACATAGCTTCTGCTGCGAATCGGTTTTGGATCTGTTTGGCACCGCGCACACCACTTGAACATAGGAATTATTTGAACTCGACGCCTCTCGGTGCAGGTTCTGCCGCTGCTAGAAATTCTGGAGGCCGGTTGCGAACATATTTCGCACTTGCCTATAACAGCAAGTGCGATCGTTTCAGGCATCGTAGCCCTCATGGCCCAGTCGATGCTCAGGAAGAGGAGCAGGTGGAGAAGGTGGCGAAGTGCAAGACTCCTGTCAGCACCGAGTTCCTCCTCTTCCCGGGTGCTGCCAAGTTTTACCATGAGCCCAGAAATGCCTTGGTAGAAGTAAACCCTATTCACCCTAAACCCTATGGCAAGGACGATCGAGGAGCTGTGCACCACCTTCGGCCTCGACCCGTCTGTGATCGACGGACAGCAAGCGAGTTGCGTTGACATTCCGTCGGACGTTGCAGAGATTGTAGATGCTGATAGCATGAAGTCAGAATCTTGCGCAGGGGGTCGGAGGGCATCTGTTGAGAAGGCCGTGGGTTTCAGTGGCAGGGTTTCTTTTGCTGATAATAAGGTCTTATCGCATTAGCTGCAGCATTGTCTTCATTATTGGGTCTCACTCTGTGTTAGTTGTCGGGTGATAGGGCTTTTTTGTGCGTAGCGGTCGTAGGGCCTCAGCGTGCAAGTCTTCGGTGCAGGACTTGTGCACTATGCAAAGTTGCAGTACGACTGCGGGAACTACACCTTGAGTGGTGAGCTCCTCAAGCACTACAGGAGGATGATCTCCCAGGACTCTTGATGAAACGACCTGATCGCAGTGGGACTCCGGGACCATGATCATCTCTCCTCTGGCATCTTGTAAGATGTCGACCCGTTTCATCGCAGGACGCCGAACGCCCAGTCATGACCTCCAAACAGGCCTGGCCCGACAGTGTGCAAGGACCGTCTGATTTGAATGGCCTTAGCCGGAGCATGGGGCGATGGCTAAGCAGATGCAGCATGTGCACTAGGCGAACATGTTTCCGGCCTAACAAAGGTCAGTTGCATTTGGGGCACACTGGCGTCCTTCATCTTGTCACCCGGCTCAAAAGAACTTGGCATGAGGCGGAAAGCAGGATTTGTGCCACACCATTGGATGCAAAATAATGTACTGTCTCTTTGCCACTTCCATTGATTTGCAGTTTGTTGCCCAGGAATCGTGAATTTGAGGAGGCACGGGCTCACACTCTTTGCTAGCTTGGCTGATCACCATGTAGAGTTCACTGATTCAGTGTATACTGAAAGTGTCAGTACGCAGTGGATCATGTGAAGGCGCAGTCGGCTTTCACAAAATCGCAATCCCGGTTGATTTGGCTCGAACCAAGCCAGCAGGCATAGTGTGTCTTCAGTGCGTTGTCGTCGTCCTCGTAATTAGTAGTAGTCGCACCGTAGTGGTCATGGTCATGGTCGTGGTCGTAGTAGTAGGAGCAGCAGCAGTAGTAGCAGTAGTAGTAGTCTAGTAGTAGTCGTCGTAGTCGTATTAGTAGTCGTCGTCGTAGTAGTAGTCGTCGTCGTAGTAGTAGTAGTAGCAGCAGCAGCAGCTACTGCCACTACATTCACCACAATCACTACTGCTGCCGCTACTGCTACTGCTACTGCTACTGCTACTGCTACTGCTACTGCTACTACTACTACTACTACGACAGCACTGCTGCTGCTGCTACTACTACTACTAGTACTACTACAACTACTACTACTACTAC